CCATCTTCATCTGTCATTTGCCATTTTCAAGGTGTTTTAAATGATCTATTTACCTTACAGCCTTCCCACTGGACGAATACTGCCCCACAGCGCTGGCATGAAGACACTGAACCGATACAAAAATCGTTCCGAGCACTCCCTGCCCTATGATCACAGTCGAGTTAAACTGAAACGCAGCCTGAACAGCCCCGAGAATGACTACATAAATGCTAGTTTTGTGGATGGATACATGCGCCGGAAGGCCTACATTGCTGCCCAGAGCCCTTTCAACGCCACAACTGCTGCAGATTTTTGGGTGATGATCTTCCAATGCAACGTCTCCCAAATTGTCATGTTGACCAATCGGATCGAGGGTGGAAACGTGTGTTGCACCAAGTACTGGCCGGAGGCAAGTTGATGAATTCTGCGTGTAGTCTATGAATTGATCCTGCATTGATCCTATTGTTTGTCTTTAATCCACCCTGGAGACTCTGACTAAGCAGCGACAACTGTCACAAGTGTTTTAAGTGTCCAGTTTAGTTACCAGAGTTTAGTAAATAGTGGGGGCTGCGCACTTTTTGCGTTTATTTTAACTGTGTGTACACGAAAGAGCCGTCTGAAGAGATTAATTGCTTTTGTAAAAGTTTAACTCGCGTAATTAACAACAGGCGTCTTTATCAGGTTGTACTTTTTGCTACAATGATAGAGGTACCTCGAAAAATGGTGTGCGATGCATTCCGGGGTATTTTTAAAGCCAGATCCCTACTTCAAATGCACGTTGCCACGAGTGCACGTTGGTATGTCTGATGTTTTGGTGCCCTGATTGTTCCCAAAGGTAATGCCATTGTGTTGCGGTGAATATAGAGGTATATAAAGTGTTAGTATGATCGCAGTGCACGGGAAGGTAGGATGGGGTTGGCTGGCTTTGACAGCGTTCCTCCGCGACTCTTTGTTGCCACTGATGCTGCGGTCCAGTCAGCAACAAACCTGAACCTTAACCATGCACTACCGATGGAAGCACACCGTGTTTGACAGCTGTGGGCAACCTTCTCTAGAATTCTGACAGCGTAGGTGACTTCTTTGAGGGACCTTTGTGACACTATCAGAGCCTTTATTAAGCCATAATCCACCATAGCCGATTATTGGTCGCTCCATCGAAATTGAGGCTGCTCTAAAAGCCAGCTAATTCTAGAGACAGCATGTCGTAGTTCCTTGTTTTAGTGTACTAGCTGTAGTATTCCGGGTGTTCCTATAACGTTTTCCATTTTGATGTGCCTAGGACCGCTTGCAGCCTTTGGTGCGACTCCTAGTGTTCCTTCATTGAATGTAATAAGCAAAATTCGTGCGCTTGGTAAACCATAGGTCCCTCCTGGCTGTTGGCTTTGAGCAAAGATTGTTAGTAGATGTAAAGCGGGATACATGTCCCGCAGTCGTTTAACTGAAATATTTGAGCCAGCTGGGTAACATGGTAGAGGTCCTATTTGTCTTTGGCTTATTACAATAAACTAATTTTACATTTGCAGTAACCGAACTTTCCCTTTTTTCGTTAAATTCCGCCAATATAAAGTTGAATTTCCATTAATGGGCATCAGTTGCATGCGTGACAGGAACTTATTCTGGTGGAGTTGATTCTATTTAGTATATTGAAACAGTACTAATACTGATACATTGAAACAAATATAAACTCCTTGAATTTGATATTTTTTAATCACTTCCAACACAATTAAATATTCATTTACACTCATTAACCCGGAATTAAATGCTCAACCACAAATTACGTAAGACATTTGGGCGGCGGAATAGATATTTAGGCGGCCCTACAAGACAGTTTTGCTGGCAAAATTTTTACAGTTTCCCCAGGGTCCTGAATTAGAACTCTCCTATCTTGGATTTGGATTTTTTTCTTCTAAAGGTTGAACAGGAACGAGCCTACGACGAGGCCCTGTTTGCCAACGGCCATACCAACAGCGTTGAGCGTCAGTACGATTCCCTCCTGGTGCTCGCCTTGGACTCCACCGAATACGCCAACTTTACCCTACGTCGATTCCAAATCAGCGACCTCACCTCGGGTGCTGTGCAGCTGGTCAACCAGTACCAATTTCATGACTGGCAACCGCGCCGATTATTCTGTCCCTCCGGTCGTTGGCATCGACGTGGTAGCAGTAGTGGTCAAGCGGTTCGCGTACAAACCCGAACAGCAACAGCAGCGGCGGCTGCGGGTGAGGAACTGACTGATTTCGACTGTCTGGCTCTCATAGACTTCTACTTCCATGTTGTGACGGCCAGGCGGCCTGAAGATGGACCTCTTCTAGTTCACTGTGAAGAAGGTAAGTCATTCCCGCGTAGTGGATACTTCGATATCTATTTAATTTACCGAGGTCTTTAAATATATATACTAGGT